AATGTAAAAGCGAGTGATTAATAGATAAGGAACAGGTGAATAATCAAAAGGAACGTGTGATTAAACGATAAGGAACAGGTCATTAATAGATAAGTAACAGATGATAAATTGATACGTGCAGTAAGAACAGGTGGAGCTGTTGCACCAGCAGCAGGGTGATGGTGTATAGGCGTGTTTGTTTGGCAGCTTCTCGTTCAGGACCACGGCCAGCGACAGAGACAACGACAGATACGTCCTGCTGGAGAGCTCAAAGAAGAAGAAGCCACAGAGCTCATTTAAACACAAAAAAACATTGTAGTTGTTGTTTTCAGGCGGGAGTTTTAATCTACAAATGACACGTTTGTATTTGTTTCTCTCGTTCTCACTCAGTGTTCCCCTTCACAGCTCCTCGTTCATTTAAAGATGATTTGCAGATGATTCTGTAGACGTTTGTTCCTTTCCCCTCCACGTGCTCGGTGACTGGAGCTGGTGTTTTGTCCTGTCGGACCTGTGAGCGACGCTGCGGTCCGAGCCACCCGGCTGTAATCACAAAGCATCTCTTGTAAATTAAACGGTTGTGTAATTATGCTGCTGGCTCCTCGGGGCTTTGGCATCATGTTTGACTTTAATGTTGGAGTCTTGAATTAATGAAGTCGTCAGTGACAGCACTTCCAGGCTGGTTTTCAGGGGAGAAATGGGAAGTTGGGCAGCGGCGGGTAGATAATGTTTGACTCGTTCTGCTGAAGTCATTAAGTCTGTCACACCAAGCAGAAAACAATGATGGTGGTTTCTGTTATGATGCATCATCATTAGTGAGGTTATCTGTGCTAATTGGTTTTGTTTGTCAGATAAATCTGCAGAAAAGATTCATCCAGAACAACAAATCAGTTTGAGTTCATTTAAAAAGGAGTTCTCTGACGTTTGCTTTGGCTGGATTTGCAGTCCTGAATAGGAAACATAAATATTTCCAATCAGGTTTTTAAACCAGACAGCTGTAGGTTGTCCCGTTTCCTCCGAGCTTCCTGGCTGCGTGCCGCTCACCCCAACCTGCTCCACTCATCCTCCATCCATCCATCCTGCACATCTGCTGGGCTGAAAACTCCCACTGTTTGATTGCCTTAGAGGCAGCTGCTGCGGCGCACTGAGGAGATGAAAGACAGCAGGAAAACCAGAGGAAATGTGAAGAATTGAGAGGGAAAGAGAAAGGGAACGCCACGGGGAGGAGGAGGCTCTGTAAACAAACGGACTGGAGGGACGGACTGAAAAGGTATTGGTTGGAAAAGAAAAACAGAAGAAGAAATAATTGGACAGGATGAGGAGCGAAGAAGCCAGAGCTCACGAGGAACTATCGATTTATTAGATTGAAGAATAAACAGTTTGTTTCATCTCTCAGCACAGATGTGTATTTCTGTCCAGGTGTGGGAGGTGACAGAAACACAGCACAGGGTTTCACTTTATTCCTACCAATTAAACATAAAAACTGATCCGAAAAGAGCCCGGTTCCTTTGCCTGTGATGTGACCCAGCAGCTCTGCCTGCTTCCATTAATGGAGGATGTATCTGCAGCAAACCTCTTCTAATATGCACATCAGATGCTCCTCGTGTCATCCTGATTCCAGCTTCCTGTGGGCAAAAACGGGCCGAAACAAAGACATTCAGTTTGGATCAGAGAGCTCACAGAGCCGCTCTTGAATTTGATTGGTTCCTTTCAAACAACGTTATTTTTCTGCTTTTATTTGGGAAACCAGAGGTCTCTGTGTTGAGAAGAATTTGGGCATCAGATGGAGGTCAACGTGCTTCCTGAGCAACCAAAACAAAAGTCCCTCATTATCAGAGACTTTCTCGATGATTGTTTCCTAAATGAGTTTAGGGTCCAAACCGCAGACAATGCAGCTGAAAGCACACCGTTTTACTGGAGAAGCAGGTGTGGAGCATTATGCAGCAACAAAAGTTGGGAGCATGAGAGGTTTGCAGAATGAATGAAGGATATTTTTGCTGCTGTATTGTTGAGCATCTGAGCATTCAGCTCAGGCCTCGGGTCAAAGCAGGCCTGGAGCGCCTGGAGTTCCTCGTCTGAAACGCCTCATGCTGCGTGGATTAAAGGCCTTTCTGCTGCCAGGATTTTTACAGAAGCAAAACTGGAGGCAATGCATCCAGCTGCCGATAGCTCACCACCTGAAATAATAAGAGCTTTTAGCTTTTATCATTCTTTTTTTGAAGGTAACATGTTTTACATTTGTCTGGAACAAACCAGAATACTTTTATATGAGGGATTCTACCTCGTGTTCTCTCTCTATAAACACTTCAACTTTACTGTCATTTTTATTTCATTTCTGCTACAAATTAAACATACTGCATTTTCAAATAGCGTGCATAAAACCCAGATTAAATTCTTCTGGCACAGGAAGTTAGATTGCATCGTGTTCAACACCTTCACTACGAGTCCATGTTCCTCGGAAAGCCCACCTAAACATGAGACAGACTTTCTGCTCAATCAGAAACAAGTAGGGTCCAATCAGACAACAGAGGCAGATGAAGCTAAATAAAACATACATTCATGGCAGGGCAGTAAGAACAAACTAGTTTCTTCTGCTTTTTCTTATTTCAGCTGTTCCCTCTTCAGGGGTCTCCACAGCAAGTCCTCCTCCATTTCACTCTGTCCTCCTTGTGCTCTGTCTTCACACCAACTACTTCCATGTCCTCTAACTGCATCCGTATATCTCCTCTGTCTTTTTCTGGGCAGCTGCATTTCTTTCTGCATCCCCTTTGACCTTTGCTGCCACCCTTTTGTCACACAGCACTTCTGAGATTTTTCTCCATCCACTCGTACCATCACGTGAACAAACAAGAAGGGGATCGGAGATGACCCCTGATGCAAATCCCACCTCCACCTTGAAGCTCTCACCTATAGCACATCTCACCACTGTCTTGCTGTACTCATGCATGTCCTGTACCAGACAACCTTGTCCCATCACACTCTTTAACAAGCCTTACCTGCTGCACATCCTTTCCAGCCTGATCCCTCTGTCTCGCCCATCAGTACAAGTCCTTCTCACCCCCTTAAGTGTCCAGCCTCTCATACAACTCATCATACGCCTTCTACTTTGCCTTAGCTACTTCTCTCTTTGCTCTACGTCCCATCTCCTTATATTCCCGTCTCCTCTCTTCAGTACTCTCACTGTCCTATTTCTTCTTGGCTAACCTCTTTCTTTGAACGTTGTCCTGCATTTCCCTATTCCACCACCAGGTTTCCTTATCATCCATTCTTTGTCTAGATGACACACCAAGTGCCTTCCTACCTGTCTCTCTAATAATTGTTGCTGTAGTCGTCCAGTCATCTGGAAGCATTTTCTTACCACCCATAGTCTTTAACAGCTCCTCTCTAAAGTTCTCACAACATTCTTCCTTCTTCAGTTTCCACCATTTGGTCTTCGTTTCTGATTTTACTCTTTTTCTCTTCTTCACAACAACAGTCATTCTACACACAACCATCCGATGCCGTCTGGCCACGCTCTCCCCTGCCACAACCTTACAGTCTCCAATCTCCCTCAGGTTTCCTCTTCTACACAGAATGAAGTCGGACCTGCATGCTCCTTCCTTCACTCTTGTGTTCCTCCCTCTTTTGAAAACAAGTGTTGACTACAGCCATTTCCATTCTCATGACATAATCCACCATTTGTCCTTCTTTCTTTCCTCGACACCAAACCTACCCATCACTTCCTCATCCCCTCTGTTTCCTTCACCAACATGTTCATTCAGTTCTGCTCCGATCATCACTCTCTCCTCCCTGGGAATACTCTCTATCACTTCATCCAGATCCTTCCAAAATGTATCTTTCTCCTCCATATCACATCCAACCTGTGGAGCATAACCACTGACAACGTTTAGCATCAGACCTACTTCTACCTTCAGACACATCACCCTATCTGACACTCTTTTCACCTCTACTACATTATTTGCCAACTCCTCCTTCAGGACCACCCCTACTCCATTTCTTTTTCTATCCACACCATGGTAAAAAACTGTTTAAACCCTGCTCCAATGCTGCAAGCCTTGCTGCCCTTCCACTTAGTCTCTTGGACACATAAAACATCTACCTTCCTTCTCTGCATCATGTCAGCCAGCTCTCTACCTTTGCCTGCCATTGTCTCCACATTTAGA